CCCCCCCCCCAATGTAGAATCCCCCAAAGGTACAAAATATCAAATGCCGCTCTGGAAATTGGAGAAGGGCAATCCCCGGAACACTCAACTGAAATAACTCTCCCACTTGATTACCTTACGATGATTTCAAATCGAATTCCCCCCAGGGTTGTACATTCGTCATGCGCATACCCAACAAAACCATCCCCGTAAGGCAGAATATTCAACCCTCCACCACTCCGGCAAATGTGGAAATGATACAGGCACGAGATTCGCTATTCCCCCGCAGATTCGTTAAAAATTTCTCATTACGTTTATCCATGCGCAAATGTTCTCGCGCCAAGATCTATTTCCACCAGACTTTGACGTGATTTTTCAAAAGAATAAAGAGGGACCAGACGTAAATGACAGAATGAGGAAAAAAGAATGCGGAGTAACTAGTGCAGAGTGAAAATAATGAACTCGGATTTCCATGCACTTCACCCGTAATTCTGAATAATGAGTTGCAATTCTAGCTTTTCACTATTGGAATTACCGCTGGATTGAGAATTGCAAGTAAACCACCATCACCGCGACCGTCCACTAATTGATGGGGAATAATTCAACCGAAGCAAACATTTGTCCTCATTTTCCAACGATCGATAAAAAAAAAGTCAATGACAAAGACAAACACCAATCAATATTTCAAAATTAATGATACTGCATTGTTGATGACAACAGAGGTAAACAGGAGTGGGGAAAATTGTCAAACGTGAAACATTGATTATTATGTTTTTTTTAATTTTCCAGGCCCGACTGACCTCACCAATTGTCGAACAACCTCGAATCATTTGACTGGCTTCAGTCCTGCGGCGTGTTTCACGTTTAATCTACCTGCGGAAATGCAATTTGTGGCTGTCACATCGGCCGATCTATGGTTTTACAAAGAGAACGATGAGAATGATGTTTTTGGACAGACTTTTGTGCTTTCCGAGCTCGATCATTGGGATCAAGGGGGGAGCTTTGAAAAGAACACGATTATGGCGATTTTTGAAACGTCTATTGAGGGTGAGTTATAGAATTATTGTTTTTTTCACGAGATACAGAATGATTTCGAGTTCATTAATCCGTTCAGGGCCTAGAGAAGAAAGTCTGGTTCCTAGAACAAAATTTGCGATTTTGAGAATCGGACATGCAATTTCCGAAGAAAAATACCAAAAATTGAGTACCAAACGAACGCGGACGCTTGGTGGGAGGGAAATGTGTACTTTGCGCCCGCCGGGGCGAAATATAGTATATTTTGAGCCGTGGCTCGCCGAAGGCGGAGGCTACGCTGAGAGAAATATCGTCATAATATCACAAAACTAGTTTCTTGCGCCAAATGCTTCATCTCTTAAGGATTAATTTCTTGGAATGAGAATTCCGGATAATGGGTCGGACAATGTCAGATTTCGGTGAAGTGGTCATGACTTGAACATGAACATTTAATGATAAAGTTAGAATTTCTTGCCACAAGAAATCAGTTTTTTCGTGTCAGAAGATGAGAAAATAACAAAAAATATTTAAAACGCCGTGGCTATTCGCACTACCACACGCAGTGTGTCGCGCGTGGAGTCTGTCAGACAAAAATGAACAAAAAATTCGTGCAGGCCAGTCCTTAAAAAAATATAACCGTCGCTTACGCTCAAACGCTTTGAGTTCGAACGGAAGCAAAATCTTCTTTTCCTTCTGTCAAACTATTCTTGTCTTTTAAGTAATATTAGCTCATTTCGAAAAAAGCTATCACCTTTTCATTGAGTAACTTTCTCCTCAGCCCGAAGAGCACTGATTTCTTCTCTGAAATCTACCATAAATTGATCAAAAATGTATGCGATGTTTTTCGCTCAAGAAATGCTTTCTGTGATATTATGTCGATTTTTCTTTTAGTGTACCCTCTCGAGGGTCAAAGAAAACTTTTCCCACGAGTGTCAAATCCTATTTTTCATCATAACGAGTGGAAAGTAAGATTGTGCGCAAAATTTCACATTACGCCCAAGTTATGAAATAGCACATTGTATTACTAGTGCGTAAAGTCAGATATGAATCTTACCAACAATTTTGGAAAATTTCCAGAGGGATGGGTGAAAACGGACGTTGCCTTCACCATAAGAAAATGGGTGGAGAAACACCGATTGAATCACGCAATGCAAATAGCCTGCAGTACCTGCTCAATAGACCGTGAAAATGCACCAGTGTCAACTGAAATGACCTTAAAGCCGTTTCTAGTTATTCACACATCGCCATTGCCTCAAAAAAATCGTCCAAAGCGCAATTCAAATTGCTTACCGGAAATGAAAGAGTGCTGCAGAGACGATTTGTACATAAGCTTCGAGGAGATTGGATGGAGTGATTGGATCCTCCATCCGAGTGGCTATCACGCTTATTTCTGCCGAGGATCGTGCACATCGGCTGCTTCGTTAATGATGAGTGGCTCTCCATACAACAATGTCATTAGAGTGAGTTCAAAATTACCCCTATTCGAGCAAAAATATTGCACGAGGCCATTCAATGTTTCACTTGCAAACAGTACTAGAAGTTTTCTTCTACCTGACTGGAGAAGACAATAGGGAAGCAAAGTTTTCCAATATGAAAATGTTCGTTCTGTTTTTCTTTATCATCTTGAGAAGTTTTTCGGGTTGATGAACTGGCCTGATAGGTCTTCTGAGAATATCCAAGTACCTTTCACAGTTTTGGGAAACATTGACGATTTTAACTTTTCAATCGTCAAATTTGGTAATTAAGTTGTAGAAAAAAATTAGATCTGGGAAAAGGACATTTTCTTTGACGTTTTCTTCTTGTAAATAAATAATGAAAATTGTTGAAACATGATTAATGAAAAGAAGTAATATTTCACGGAACGAAAAAACTTTTCATTTTTAGAAACCTGCGACAGTCTGAAGTTTAAGGTATATCCCTTGACAATACCATCCAAAAATTAGTCCCTTTGGATTTCCGAAAAAATTCTAAATTACTTAATTTATTGGATTCTCATAAGTTATCGAGTTTTTCTATCGTCATATGTTGTTGATGAAAGCAATAATAACTGTTTGAATCAAATGAGAAATTATTTGTTAATTAATTGTTTGAATCAAATAAGAAATGGTTTCACGACGTTTTCATTTTTTAGATTTGAATATCGCAGAATTTATTTACTATAAAATTTTATAGTGTAGTTAGTTAAAATTTACAGCTAGTTAAAATTGTTTTCAATAGCTTGGGAATATCATAAACATTATCTATGAAAAATATAGGATTCAAACCTTCGATTCTAGAGAAAAAAATTCTAAAATCCTTGGATATCTTCGGTCAATTTTCCTCCCATTAAAATCTGCCCGCAATTATTCATTTCGATCACCCGTACACATTTCCAAAACCAATAATGAATTTAGTCCACAATAAATTCGTAACGAACATTAAATTTTTCCCAAATAATGTGAAATTTCCCAATTTCAAAAAGCTCAATATTTTTCAAAACCTAATTATCGATAATATTGATTCCGCATGAAATGTTTAAAACATTTCACCTTCAACTGAGTCGCACCAACCGATGATTGAGAATGTCAAACGCCGCACGAATTCCCCCAACCGTAGAAAACCCCAGAAAGCAATCCTCCGATTCTCCTCTCAACGGTCCAATCCTCATTCCCACAAATTCTAAATTACATCCCCATCCCCATTTTTCTTCCTCAAGCAATAAATTCACATCTACCACTTCTCCCGTTGCAGAAATGGTTGACAAAGAACAGCAGCATACACCGACGCGGTAGCGAAATAGTACCCTGCTGTTCGCCAACTCAGCTCTCACCTATCCAGCTACTCTACGTAGACTCAAATAATACGATAACCCAGAAAACACTGCCGAACATGGTGGTAGAGGCGTGTGGATGTATGTGAAAGAAAGCCCCAAAAGAAGCGAAACAAACAAAAATCCGCACATCCCTCTCTTTTTTATCCACCGGCAAACGTGAAAAGCTGCATGTGGTTCGTCCAAATGTGTTGGAAACGCATTTTTTCCCCCCTTCTCTTTCATTTTCCCTCTGCACGTACAGAAATCAGAGACGAGAGGACGACGAAGAGACATAATAGTAGAAAGAACTCTGTGCAAATGAAAAAAAAAAAGCAGCCCCCCCTCAACATACATAGAAAACAAGCCAAAAAGCAAGGCATAAACAGAGTGAAAAGGGAAAAAAATTTAATAATGGAGAAGAATGAAGAGATTAAAGTAGAAATAGTGGAACGTGCTGAAGCTACTGCTCGTGAAGATTCTCTCTACCGAGAGACAAGAGTAGCGTACTTGAGTCCTCCCTTTTTTCCCTTCCTCTCTCCTTTTCCCTAGCTTTAGCCCAGTGGTCGTGTTATTGTATTACATTGTGCCTTCATTCGAAACAAGAAACAAGAACAAAAGAACAAGCAGAGTTGTCGAAATGGAAGGCACTGGGCGACGTAAAAACCAAGACAGTATTTTCCCACCACCACCACCAGCATCTCCCCCCCCCCCTCCTTCCTAACCACTAGAAAAAAAATCTGTTAATTATCCCTTTGTGTTTTGTAATCGAGTCCACGAGTTCAAATTGTCTGATTTTCTCAATAAATCCTCCCTCCGCTCATCATTGACCTCTGTGGACTCCCTCTGTCTCGTACCGAAGTAAACAATGATTCAATAATTATTATTTTGTTCCCCAATCGAATGTAGAATTTATTTATTCGTTAAGCTAGGCTATCACACTGCCCGTGCCATGGTAACGAGCAGTTAGTTAATCTTTTTTTTTTCGTCTCGATTTTTTTTCTCGCTGGGTCGTAGGAAATTCTGCAGCCTGCATATCGCGCTCTATAGTTTTTTATTTCTCCTCGCGGTTATTTTTTTTTCAAGTTCGGTCTCGATTTGACTCTGGGTTTTCACTTGGATCCGGCTCAGCAGTCCCCAGTGATAAGATAAGGAATGTACACAAGAGTTACGGAATTTTGTGATTAATATGTGGGTTTGTTTTTTTTTTTAATTCGTGAGGCGATGTAAAATGATGATGAGTTGCGGGTGGAAGTGTGATGTGTGCTTTGGAGTTGGGCCAAGGTCAGTGTCTTATTGGTAACTTGAATTTGGGGAAATGTCTGGAAATTTTCGATAATGAAGAGTTTATATGGAATTTTCGTGTTTGCGTTGGTGATGATTCCTGGAAGATTCAGCGGATGTTATTGAAATTTTCGGAAATTCCGGCAATCATTGTTACGAAATCTCAAGCTTTTGGACATTTCGGGATATCCAAGTATCTTTTACAGTTTGGTACAGACCACAGTATAGATTCAACCGTTTTCAATCATCAAATTTGTCATTTTGCACAGAATTATTATTTTTTTAACGTTAGTTCTCCATCAACAAATAATTGAGGTTGTTTGAACTTTCGAAAACTATATTTTTTTAGACGCGAAATCAATTTCTGGTAAAGTTCTGAATCTGAATGAATTTGTTACGATTCCGAACAAATGAGTTTTACGCTGGAAAATTGATTGTTTATAAATTATTATTATATTATTTCTTCCAGAAGTGAACTTCCTAATTTTTTTCAGATTTTTAAAATGTTTTTTAACGATTCAATTCAATATCGAGATTCAAATTGAAACCTGCAAATTTTAAATAATAAAATAATTGTAAAATTTCCGGAAATTCAGGCTCAAATGAAAGCTCTGATGTTCGATTACAAAAGTCGAAAAGCATTTCATTGGAGGAAAAATAGCTAAAGTACTTGGATATCCTTAACTGCATCTAATTTTAAATTCTAACCGTGAGTTGAAAAACTCAAGCTGTCATTAAAATTCCAGGAAACAGCGCTCAAGGAAATGCTCAATTCTAGTGAATTTTGAATGTGAATAAGGAATTCCATGGATTATTCCTAAATCTGAATGTCAACCGATAGAAATGCAGTATTCGACATCTTGCGAAGGAGTAGCGATAGCATTATTTCCATAATTTTCGGTTATTTCCATTTGAACAATCATTCAATCAACTTTGAGAGACAATTTTTTGCTAATAAATAAAGTTCTGGTATGAACGTGGCTTTAACCCGAAAAAACGTCTAATGCTGCATTTCTATCGGTCGAAATTCAGATGGGAGAATGATCCAACCGAGTGCCCCTTGTGCTCCAAAATTTCAGAATTGTGAATAAGTTTTGCGAAAAAATCCCTCGCGCTGCGCGCTCATGATTTTAATCTCCAAAACTTCTCCCTCTCGTTGCTATGCAACAAAACTATCGAAAAATTTGTGACAATTTTGGAGCACTCGGGGCATTACGGTTGATAATTTAGTCTTGAATTAATTGAAAATTGACAACAGTGAAATTTTTGTGAAACTGTTACTTAAATTTTTTTTAAATAATAGTGTGAGTGTTTGGAGTTAGCACAATTCCTATTCTGTAATGTTGAATGAAAATGAGACTGAGAATATTTTTGTGAAAAAATCGAAAGAATGACAGATCCTATATTCCTTTCCATAAATTAAAATGATTCCTCTGTCAGCTTCGCAATTCACCAACGAGAACTCAGAACCCACATAAGAAAATGTTTTCAATTCGAGTTAAAATCATCTACCATAAATTTCCTTCGAGTAATTGGAAAAAGTCAAAAAAAAATAATATTTTGATATTGTGAAGAAAGTGTGAAGAGAATAATTGACAATTGAATTCTCAGTCTTCAGATAATTTTTGCGTAGATCTGTACGAAATGATGTTTAGTATTTATTATTTACATTGACGAATTCAATCAATTCGATGGCTTCTGAACCTCAAATCAAAACGATCTCCATTAAAAGACATTTATTTTCTTTCCGAATTGTCTCTTATCGCCAATAGATTCACCTCCAGAGAATAATTTTGTTTAAAGAATATAATAGCGTGCCCTGGCTGAACATTGGATGGATACTGGACATACTATCTACTACGACCAAGCCAAAATGCTGGCCAAGTCTCAAGGGTATTTCGAAAGGAAATACCGAGAGGGTTTGGAGATCCATAAAAACTCTAACAACCTCAACAGGGACAGAGGATATCAAGTGAACCCCATTTGGAAAACCGTCCTCCCGGTTTTTAATTGACCAGCTGATCAATTAAAAACATATGATTGGCTGACCCCCCCCCCTTCCCCTTCTCCCACCACCACAAGGGAAGGTATATAAGGACTGCCCCCACACATCGGAGCTCAGAATCGGAGCTCATAGCCCTGAAGATGCAGACTGCAATGTTTGCGAAACGTCGGCGCAATGCTGAAACTCAACGCGGCATCCATCCGGAAGCCAACCACGTCATTAATAATGGCCGCGAAAGCCTCAAAACTAAGAATATAATAGCGTAATCCACCATCATCAAGATTATCACTCGCGACGAAACTCAGGCTTCAAAACATCCCTAATCCCCAAAATTCCACAATTCAGTGTATGAAAAAGTTTACAGCCTGACTCGACTCAATTTCATTTCGTGATGTACACGTGATGACGATAACGATAACCATAACTTATTGAATTTTCTTATTTATGAAGAATAAAACTGTAAAATAAATATCGATTTTATTTTTGTTAAATCGATGAATAAATAATGTTAATTGTCATCTGGGTAAATTCCTCAAGCTTCCACCTCCTTAATTCAAATTAATGATGCAAATGTCAAAACAAAACAAGTCTGATATCAACGGGCAATAATTAATCACTGAAAATAATTGACCTTCGTACATGACTGTTTACTGTTTTGTTTTTTCGGCAATTAAATCCAATTTCTCTTATTATTTGATACCAACTCAACCACCAGTGGAAGGAATAGACAAGCTGAATTTGTACGACGCGAACACACACGCGTTGTCATACAGTGAAAGATCATCACGACTCCAAAGTCCAATCTAATTGGCTACATGAGGATAATCAGAATAATACGAATGCCTCGACACATTCATGAGTGACTCTTATCATTGCTACGATGATTTAGTGTTCGGAGGAATCATTTGTTTGAGAATATACAAGTGGAGCAGTCCCTGCAGTACCATTGCTATTGAATAAAAAAATCCCAAAATTATTCCAGCCGTTTCTATTCATGACAGGTGTTTGTATAGTGTCAAATTTTCAACTCAAATGATAATGTTTGGTTGAATTATTTCTGTACAACCCTATGGGTTAAAAAGTCGAAGACAAAAATGCCCGGATGAAGAACACTTTGTGTGTTCGAAACGTTGGCAATTACTGAAAGAATTGATTTCCTTTCGTGGAGTTGAAACTAACGAACGACTCGTCAACGGAAGATTTCATTTAGGAAAATCTAGGGGTGTTCAAACATTTTCTAGACATGAAAAAATTTTTTTTTTAAATCACTCACATGATTGTTCGGCCCTAAAACCCCCAACAATCTCTAAATTGCATTTTCCGCCCGAGAATTCCGCTAATTTCAGCTTCATCGTTACACACTTTTCTCACGCAATTCAACTTATATTTTATCAATCTGATGATTGAAAATTTCCCAGTCAATTCAGATATCCTTAACATCTTCCTCAGAAAGGTTTTGTACCGAAATAAACAAAAAACTTAATTTTCTAGGATCTCGTTTCATTTCTGGCATTTCTCTCTATATTATTAAAATTCAAATGGACCTCTGGTGATAAAAATTTGGTATTCGAAATCAAGACTTCGAAATTGAGGGTTATGAGGGTCAGAATAAGGGTCACGAGGGTTAGATTAAAGGTCACGAAAGTCAGATTAAGTGTCGTATGGGTGAGATTAAGGGTCACAAGATTAAGTGCCGCAATCATAATACCCAAAAAATTTTGCAGCTTTTAATGATGATAAATTTCTCTATATTACAAAAATCCAAATTGACTTCTGGTGATAAAAATTTGGTGTTCGAAATTACGACTCCAAAATTAAGGATCACGAGGGTCAGAATAAGGGTCATGAGGGTGAAGCTGAAACTAGCGAAAGATTCGACAGCAGAAGATTTGTCTTAGGCGAATCTAGAGGTGTACAAATGTTTGTAAATAATGTACAAACTCTTTCGCACTTTAAAAACATTTATACATATGATTATTTGACTCTCCTACACTTAAATATTAAATTTTCCCTAAATAAGGGTCACAAGGGTCAGAATAAGGTTCGTGGAGGTCATATGAGGGTCATCCATGGGTCATGTGGGTGTTGGCGAGCGGAGCGAGCCCCCCAGTCTTAGATAAAACTTAAAAAAAAAACCCGAAGAAAGCCCCTAAAATTTCAATTGTCCCACATAAAAATCATTGCCTCCGAGGAAGACGCCCAGCTCGACAAAGGTCATGACTAATGAACAATCCCTCTTATCTCCACTAAATAGGAATCCGTCAGGATTTACTCACTGCGATAGCAGGTAATGATTCTGTAATAGCTCCTACCTGTTAGTGCACTCGAATGACCACCCAAGAACTCTTCATTCCCCTTCATACATCCCCACCGTGGGCGCGAGTTGATACTGAGAACAAAGATCTTCATTTCATCCCCTGGTTTTAATGTCCGGACATTAAAGTCCTCATGGCATTCATCCAGAACTACTATAAACGTTATAAAACGATTTATTAGCCCTTCAAAACCGTGTTATGACGTCCCTCGACGGCGGTATCACCCGAACACCAGAATTTCAACACTCGCGACGCCATCCCGCAGGTGAACACGAGACTCGACCCGAGTTATTATTGTTTGTCGATAAAACTTCCGACATTTCTCGTATTTATCATCACCACACGTTGAAAATGTCACCAGTCCACTGATTAATCACTCTGGGCTCTACTAAAAACGACTAAATTGATGTCGGAAGGGAAAAAACAGACAAATTCACTCCACAAACACCACAATCACCACTAGAACTAGAGAAAACAAGACCTCGCGCCGCCATCTTGTAATCGTAGAGTGTCATGGCGCCGCAAGATGGCGCCGGCGCGCCATTTCCCGTACAATTACGAAAAGCATAACTATATATCAGCTGATTACTCCATTCTTCAGCACGGATTATTAAATTCGTTTGTAAATAATAATAAAAAATCAAACAAACTTGGGGATTTATTCGGTTTGAGATGATGGTTATAGTCAATCGTTTGAGGAAGTGAAAATTGTTTTTTGAGGCATGTCCACGGAATTTTGGAGCAGTTTTTTTTATGAGTGATGGGGAGACGTGAGTGAGGCTGGAATATGGGTAAGAGGACAGTGAGGACACTGAGAGTCGATTGAATTTGATTTTTTGAGTTTCCGGAGGGATTTAGGATGTTGTCGGAGGTCGATGTTTTTATTAGTAATTACACCCTGGTGGATCCTGAGGTCTATCAGCTCTGGGTGGACGGCCACACTTGTGAGTATGCGGGTAATAATAATAGTGGGGGGTACAGTGAAGGGTTTAGGACTGATGAGGGTAAAATGGGCCTTTTTAATGCTCGATAACTGAAGATTTTCAGAGGGAAATTCAACATTTTTTTCTTTCGGTTTGAGGGTAGTTTTTCAGAGTTGAAAATGAGACGTGATTTATTTAAATCGTATCATTCAGTCATCAGACGTTGATGATTAAAGATCCATTTTATTTTACTTCCCCGTGCAATTTTCATTTTTGGTAATTAAAATGTTTTCCGCTATTGTCGATTATTCTTCAGCAAGTGATGCAGTTGGAGTTCTGCATCAACGAGGCATTTGCCAACAGACGAATGCTCCGATAGAACTGGTGGCATCCGATGTACTCGATCATTATCGTACATACTCCCTTCTCGAGAGATTACTTCACTCACCCCCAAAATTGGCTAGTGAACAATTGGCCTTTCAGATCGAACCACAAACTAGTCAAATGTTGATAGAAATGCAAGTATCGTTTCCTTTAATTTGAATTTTGCATTATTTGTTTTATTTCTTAGGTGGAAAAATAAAGAATCTTACGCACTTATTCTCTAATTTCAATAAATTAATATAAAAATAGAAATTTCCTGGTATAAAAAAATACAAAAATAAACATTCATTATTTTTCATGAAAATTAGTATTTCATAGTTTTATTTAATAAAAAATTTCATGCACCAACCGCATTCAATATTCATAGTTGCAAATCGTTTCACATTTTCTCCAAAAATATTGACCATTTCGATCATATTAATCCCTAGGTACTACGAATTCGATGACTCGGTGATTCGTGAACTCCTGGGGAAGAAGTTGACGTCAAAGAGTCGAAAAGACATGGACGAAGTGGCTGACAAAACCGGAATCATGTTAAAGAGCTGCAGGCGACAATACGACAATGTCAAGAGGGTTTTCAAAACTGTCGAGGATTTGCCTGGCTCTCTAGCCACAAACATAAAACAAAATTTTTTATTGCCAGATGATTTAGCAAGGTTTGGAGATATTATTCATCAAATTCTTCTGTCTTATTTTTAAATCGTCAAATCGATTTTTTTATTAATTGTGAAATTCTTTCTACGGCAGTCGAGGAACAATTTTTTCAACATTTTCAACTACAGAAAATGTCTTTTCAAATTCTTAAAAAATCACTTGTCTTCGTAAATGCAAAATTTATAAGAAAGACCAGAAGCAACCAATTTTTCAAATCTTGTTGAATATCAAAAATAATTAAATTTTCTCTATAAGGAATGATTTTAGAAAAAATAACATACATTTACATTTATTATAGAGAATTTCACCAATTATAGGAAAAGTGTCTTCAAATTTAAATTCAAATTTTCCAATTAAATTTTTTTTCTAATTATAATCTTCTCATATTCGAGACAATTTTCAAAAAAATATCAATATATATTTTGAAAATATATTTTCAAAATTCATTTATCACTCCACACCAAAATGACTTTCAATCTCCAATCCCTAGACGTTACGCAGCAGTAGTCTTCATAGCTTGCTTGCGCTTTGAGATGAGCAAAAGAAAACTGCAATTCCTGACATTCCCCGATCTGTACCACTGTGCAAACGCCATGATGGCCTCGTGGACATATCGATACACAGGTTCCGAGTACTTCGATACCGATCTGGACAGGGAATTCCTCCTGGAGTTGGCTGAGTGCCGAGTTCTCCTGGAGAACGATAAGCATCACAAGCAGTACGTGTTCCTCTCTTAATCGTTAAATAAAATCAAGTGATTGTAATGTCGTTTTATCGATTGCAGTCTCGTTTGCATCAAATTAAAACCAACTCTCCTTGAGAGATCCTATCAGGAGTTGGATTTGAATTTTCGTTCTTATTCACGAGCTCTACTGGGCATTGCCTGCAGTCTGCACAGATCCCGAGAACTGAGATTTCTATTTCTAGAGTTAGTGGAGAGGTGTATTGAACCTTGGAGACAAGTCAACTGGTCGCATACAGATTTGAGAAATTTTTTGAGTGCATATACTCAGTGTGCACTTGATCTGGACGTCTTGAGGTAAAATGTGGACTTTATAATTAATTAAAATCATTCAAATCACACCAAGAAAACATTAATTTTAATCGAATAAATTCTTTTTTCTGCCCAAAAGATTTTTTTTTCGATTGAAGTAAATTTTTTTTTTTTAAGAATTCTCTGCATTTCGTAGAATCATTATTTAAGAAAATACAGTTTAGGATTTTTTAAAATGAAAATTATTGCAAAGATAATTGAAAATAACACGACTGAAAATAGTCAATTGAATGATTTGATTGTAACTGTGATTTTCACATTAAGTTTAAGAATTCTTTTTTTTTTCTTTCAATTTTTTAAATGAATAAAATATTTGATGAACCGTTTCACCTTAAATTGAATAAAAATTCCCGAAATTAAACATTCAAACTCATCAGAATATTCACCACTGGACTCAATTTTCTTGAATTTCCAATTTCAGAGAGGGAACCTTGCGAGATGCATTCGAGCGTTACATGAAAGTAGTAACGAGCTGTCTACTGCGAATGTACCACACGTGACGACTGACAAACGTCTACCCAGACGTAATAATTGTTGAGAATACCCCGGACGAGGAGAGTCGATAAATCATATATTACAATTTATTTGTCATTGTTAAATCGTTCTTTCCTTCTCTCTTTTGCGTAATAAATAATCAATAATAACATGTGTGGCAGAGTAATGCGCAATCTTCAGTGCCATTTACAATATATCCACATAACTACATATCATTACACCGGCGCAACGATCATTGTAATCACTTCCCTCTCTTCTCTAGACCAATAAAATCTGGCGGAAAAAAGAATGGAATTTCTAACCCAATGCTGCAATTTGAAAAGAATAATTAGACAGTATTGTAAGTGTCACCAAAAGAAATGTGAAAGATTGTCTAACAACAGGGGTAATCTACGCTTCTAGATACAGATGGTTTTGTCTTCAGTAAATTTTTTCTCACAAAGAAAAAATCAACAGAGTTATGCTCGTGATGACCGATCCAGAGAATCGATTGGTTCCTGAAGAATTGTCGGTTCTTTTTCTTTTTAATTAATGCACCTAATTCACTATAATTTGCTACTGAGCTACTCCTAGAATTTTATTCACTGCCAACACAATGTCTTTGGGCTCTGGTAGAGCTAGGGCTTCTAACGATTTAGTATATGGCATGGGAACATCGACACCAGTTACACGAATCACGGGAGCATCCAGATGGTAAAATGCGTCGCCTGAAATTGAGAATATGAGAATTAATTATTTATGAAAGAATGGAGAAGTGAAGTGGTAAAACTGAGTGGAGAAACTTGTACCTTTTTTGAGGAATTTTATTGAATTTCTTTGGAGTTCCGTTAAAATTCTATTGAATCTTAACGGAACTTTTAGTTTAAAAATTAATTTCTCGTTGACTTTCTGAAAAGGAAAAATTGATTGACGACAAAAAATCTACGAAATCAATTTTTGGAATAGGAGAAAATTTTTTTGAATGGAAATTTCTTTGGTTTAATATTCAAACTTTTTCAAATGATAAGTTTCTCAATGACAAGTTTCCCGAAATTTTCTCGTGAAATCAATCATTTCTGAGATGAGTGCTTCATTAAAAAATATTTCAAAGATGCCTAATTACGTTTTACCACTTCGTCAATGTATTGGGGATATCCAAGTACTTTGCCTTTTTTCTTCCAGTGAATAATTCATGAACAATCAATTTTCCACCATAAAAATAATTTGTTCGGAATCGTAACAAATTTATTGATATTCTGAATTACACCCCGAAATCGATGTCAACAAAGAATGTTAAAAAAATAATACTTCTGTGCAAAATGGAATTTGAATGACGCTGAATATTCATGATTTTTTTTTCAAATTATTCACACGCAATTCTGTACCAAACTGCAAGAGACACTTGGATACCCTTAATGAAGATATTTGCATTGGAGATAACTTACTTTCCATGATCCTCGCTGCAATTTCAGCGCCAATGCCACACGTCGGCCAGCCCTGTTCAACCGTAACAACGTGATGCGTCTTAACAACAGACTTAATAATCGTTTCAGTGTCCAACGGCCTGAGTGACCTCAAATTAATAACTTCGGCTTCGATTCCCTTGCCAGCGAGTTCCTTAGCAGCCTCCAGTGCCAGCTCAACAGCTTTGGAATGTGCCACAAGTGTCACATGATTGCCAGCACGCTCCACCTTAGCCTTCCCAATGGGAATGACGAAATCCTTGGATAATGCCTCGTCGGACATTGGGTACTGCACACCATAGAGCAGTTCGTTCTCCAGGAAAACAACGGGGTCGGGGTCGCGAATGGCGGCTTTGAGGAGACCCTTGCAGTCCTCGCTGTTGTAAGGGGAGATTACTTTTAATCCGGGGCAGTGAGCGTACCAAGCACCGAAGCACTGTGAATGCTGGGCACCAACACCAGACGCTGCACCGTTTGGACCACGGAACACAATTGGTATATTGACTCGTCCTGCTGACATATAGAACGTCTTTGCAGCGGAGTTTATGATTTGGTCGATCGCTTGCATCGCAAAATTGAACGTCATGAATTCGCAGACTGGCCTGAGACCGGCCTGCAATGAAAGAATATTCACTTTTATAGTTGGATAATTTTTTAATGATAGGGGAGAGTGGGGCAATATGGATTTTTTTTACATTTTTTTTTGAATGATTTCACTTGGGCTCATGAAGGAAAAAAATTGTACTTTCCATTAGAAAAATACAATAAAATTAAACTAAATTAAACTGAATTAAAGAATTAAGAAAATTAAGAATTTGAGATAGATTTTAATTGAATTAATTTTAATTTAATTTCATTCTATCTCATGTCACTAATGATTCAATACGTCACTAACATTTGAACAAAAATTCTAAAATGTCCATTTTCAAGTCTAGAATAATAAAATGTTTACAGACTGATCTGAGAGCAGTCTACAATGGAACAACATCAACTTAATATTTAGTTGGATTTATTTTAATAGGGGAGGTTGGGGTAAAACGGACACTTTTGACTTTTTTTTAAATGTTAATGAGGGGTTGAAATGTTGATAAAATTTAATAATTTTTTTTAATACAAAGAACAATTATTTCCCTGCGTGACGAGCCTGAACTGAGCTCAATTGATAAATTTGTTTCTGCGTTATGAATAATTTAAAAACAGTCCAAAGTGTCCATTTTACCCCACCCTCCCCTACTTTAATTAAATAATTTTTTCCATTTCTTTTCCCGTCTCCTCTATAATTCATTTAGCTCCAAAATCCTTTAATAAACTCATTCATTGTGAAATGGGACTTTACAATATTATCGAACACATGCAAAATTTCCTCACCATAGCCGAGCCAACGGCCATCCCCCCGAACCCAGACTCCGTAATAGGCGTATCGATGACCCTCGTATCCCCATACTTTTTCCACAGCCCCCTGGACACCTTGTAGGCCCCATCGTACATCGCGACCTCCTCCCCCATGAGGTAGACCCTCTCGTCGCGCTCCATCTCCTCATCCAGGGCTGAATTCAACGCATCCCGCACCGTCATCTGTCCAGAAAATCACTGAAGTAAATAAATAAAATCGCGGGATCCACTGGCCTGTCGTATGACAAGTCATATGACCTTTCCCGTCCTTCAGGCATTAGCTAATCACGCCTGAATATCATTAGATCATAAACGAATCAATTGGAAAGAAAAAAGTCGTCAGAAAGTTCATGAAGAGAGGAAAATGCAGCTATTTGCTGCCTCCGGATCACATGACAGTTTAAATCCCGGATTCTCACCATCAAATTGAGACGACGTGATTTAGGTTAAGTTTTGAACAGGATCGCATATTTTACCTGCTGTGCAGCTGCACAGTTTGAGGTGGAGAATGAGCGACGGACGATTCCTCTTACAGCAGACTGAAAATTATAACAACGAAAAATCAGGCCACTGCGACACTTGACACGTTAATTATACACAAGCTCCAATCGCTCTATTCATTCTAATTTTTCAGCTCTCAAATTTCTGTTAATTGTTACCGTGAGCATGATCGTTCGACGTGTTCGAACGTTAGGTTTTTTTAGATTTTTTCTAGTGAACTGCTGGCGGTTGTTTGTCCCGTCCTGGTGAAGATCCCCGCGTTTATTTGTGCCTCCGGGGGCCTACGATTTTTCACCCAACACTACTCGCTGGTGAGTGCACGCGTTTCTGGGGTAATGGAGCCAAGGCCGACGATACTCCTGACGTAGGCTTTTTTATTCACGGGAGGTGCCAGTGCCGGTGGACGGCGCACGAGGTCGCGACAGTTCGGTTTGAATTTTTTTGATTTTTTTACGGTCGGAGTGATTTTTGGAAAATTGTGGTATTGAGAGCTATTATAATAATAATTAATTGTAAATATGATTACTGAATAATTTTTATAACTCGACGAATGATAAGAAAATTATCTTTTAAAAAATTATGTTTCCGAACATTCTACAATTGTTTTGTCTAAACTTTTGAGATTCAATTTTAATTCTCCTTTTCGAACTGTTGGGAGAGATTAAAAAAACTGAAAATAATAGAAAGTCTAAAGAATTGAGAATAATTAAAAAATTGTAATTTGTAATAATTACGAACTTTGACATAAGTAATTTACTAAAAAATCAATTCATCACATATTTTCCGATATTTACAAATCTCCCCAAAATCGATTTCGTGCGAAAAAAAATTGAGTTCCAAGTTTTGAACACACAATAAAAAAAAATTTTTGAACATTATTTATTTATAATAAGGAAAGATGTAAAAAAAGTAATTTAATGTTCAAAAAGGGAATGTTCAAAAAGAATATCCGAAACCGTTTGAAAAGAAAGTATTTTCTCCCAACTATCGTTCGAATAATTCTGGACTGATTTTCTCGCGCAATTTAATTACCAAATTTACTAATTAAAAAAAAATAGTAAGAGGTGTACCTGAATATCCTCGTCCACGAAGAATCTCTTCATAATTGTTTCTATAATCATCAAAATAATTTATTTGCATGTAAATTTCAGGACAAGTCAGAAAAAAATTCCCCTCATTTTCCACTAATTGGTATTTATTCATCAATTTATCAATTTCCATCATATAAATAATGAATGAAAATATCTCCCCGAAGATGTGAGTTACTCAAAGATGAACATTATGGATCTCCTCAGAAGATGGCGTCTACGACTTTTCGAAACGCGCGCGTTTCTCACTGCAAGCGGAAGTAGCACAACAATTTGCCTGCCACACAAAGAAGCAGATATTAATCATTTGCCAACGACAATTGATTCTGTCAAGATAATGGAGAGATTTCTTGGGGTGGTCGATGAATATCCGGATTTGTGTTTGCAAATAAATTTTATGTTGAAGCAGTGGTTAGTAGTGCACGGGACTCAGTGGCGGCCGGTCGCGTCGTACCGATTCACATGTGTTTTCGGAGCAGTTCTTCGCAGATTTCAACGAGTGATCAAGTCTCTCATTCCTCCAATCAAGAAAATTTATTGATTTGTATGATTTATTCAGTGATCGAGCAGTGGAGGGCACTCTCAGGAAATGTAAGAAACATAATAATTTCACGTGTTCGACGGGAAATGTAAAATGTATGGAAATTTAGTGTGTTATTGTGCCAGTGTCCATTATTTTTGCAAGTGAGCAGTCATTAGGAATCCAGTTCTGTTGTCGTGAATATTCCAGTGAGATAAAAACACCGAGTGAAATAGAATAAACGACCAAATGATTCTATTCAAAAAAGCGATGGAGACAGGAAATATTTATCAGCATCATATGCTCATGTGGAGTGAATACATTAAACACGAAATGAGATAGGTGCAATAACAAGTGGTTATATGAACACATTCATAATAGAATGAAAATTATGAAATTGATTTTAACGAATAATCAAGTTTCTCATTTCTTCAATCAAAAGAATTTATTAATTCAGTGATCGAGTCGTGGAGGGCATTCTCAGGAATTGCAGAAAATATGGAAATTTAGAATGTTATTGTGCCAGTGTCGATTATTTTTGCAAGTGAGCAGTCGTTAGGAATCCAGTTGTGTTATCGTGAATATTCCAGGTAGATAAAAACAACTAGTGATATAAAATAAACGATCAAATGATTTTATTTAAAGAACCGATGAAGTCAGGAAATATTTATCATTGGACGCTGCAAGGACATTCAAGTGGATTGAATACATTAAATATAAAATGAGATTAGTGAAATAATGAGTGGTTCAGTGGTCACGTTCATGATGGAGTAAAAATTATAAAATTGATTTGAACGAATAACCAAGTTTCTCATTTTTTAAATCGAGAGAATTTATGGGAGGACATTCTCAAGAAGTCGAAGGGAAATGTTATTGTGCCAGTGTCGTAGAAACCCAGTTGTGTTATCGTGAATATTGCATTGAGATAAAGACACCGAGTGAAAAAAAATAAGCGACCACATGATTTTATTTCAAAAAACGATGGAGTCAGGGAATTTTTTATCATTGGACACTGCAAGGACATCCACGACCTCCATGACGGCATCATATGTTCATGTGGACTGAATACATTAGGGGAGGTTGGGGTAAAATGGACACTTTTGACTTTTTTAAAAATGTTAATGACGGGTTGAAATGTTGATAAAATTTAATAATTTTTTCTTCATTGCAGAGAACAATTCTTTCCCTTTGTGATGAGCCTAAACTGAGTTGAATTGATTAATTACTTTCTGAGTTATGAGTAATTAAAACAAAAGTCTAAAGTGTCCATTTTACCCCATTCGCCCCTAAACATAAAATGATATTAGTGAAATAACGAGTGTTTGTATGAACACATTTACAGTGGAATGAGAAAAAAAATGAACATTTGCGAATTGTTCATCAGGAATATTGAAATCATTCCTCAAATTGTGATTAAGTGACTTGGAACATGTACCTCATGGCCATAAACAGTGAATCTTATGTTTGTGTTTGCAAAATGGAGCTTTTCACACGCATGATGACCGGCTTCTTCTAAAAACACAGCGGCATGCATCACCAAGAGCAACACTGGGTATGTAATAACAATGATTCGCATTAAAAGTATAACATCGTTCCAGTCTTTATTTTACGATAAACAGACGGCGCATTTTGTTGGTATTTAACTTTGTTTCTTTTCCATACAACATTTATGCTATGACATGACAAAAATTATTTGTCTCCAGGAATGGCCGATTATGACATTTTCTTATGCATTAATGATATGTTAGGTTTCATGAAGCATTCCACTAAATTCGTGCGAGTGAAAATATAGTTATGATATTGTGAATCGAGTAGTTGAGATTATGAGAATTTCAATAAGAAAACAAGCAGATAAAGAGAGAATGAGATTAGTTTTTTTTTTCGTCAAGTGAAATGAAAACATGCCACGAAGAGAGGAAGTAAAATATCAGGAATGCTGCATACATGTTCAATTTGTTTCCATAGATGGTTTTTTTGCGTATTTTGCGCAGATTTTTATTAACGAGAGAACAACAGTTGAATAGAAGTTGAATGTGCTAGAACACTGCCTGGGAGGTAAGAAGTCTCCACGCTTTTTTTAAATATATTTTTTTGTTTTTTTTTTCTTCTTCTTTTTCGTTTTAAAGTCAAGTTATAATTTTCACAATTAACGCAACAATGAGAATAAGAATAAATAGAAGTTTCAGTTACGTTTTTTTAGAACTTTTTTTTTGTTCAATTGTTCGTTTCAAGTGCAGGAACTAGTATCGTCGGAGAGCGGAAAGAGATCGTTACGTAACCGTCCTAGGTCTAATCTATTATGTAAAGATTATAAGAGAAAGATTTTTGTTACCGATAGTAAGATTAATTAAAAATGATAATCGTAATGATCTAAGAATTATTATCTTGTTTTTAGAGGGTTAATGCGATTATGCAGAAGCCCTCTTTTGAACCATTTCAATTTTAATACTTGAGTGACAATTACTCTGGTCAGAAGGGCTTTTGTTTAGTTTTTTTTTTTCACCGGTTTATTATTTTTCCTCTCTAATGAAATCTGGTTCTGAATTTTTTCGTCACTATTTTTTTTTGTCAACAGATAAATGGTATATTCATTTCGAAGATAAGTAAATTGGAAAAGCAACCTATCGGTGCGTTGCGAAAGGCCAGTTTTGAATCGTGATTCAGTCTAGGAGTTCTGTATGAGTCTAAAGAATCCCCGATTATGTCTCGTTATTTTTTTTTCATCTTCATCTAAATTGAGTGAGGCCGAAATCATACTCGTTTCTCGCGGAGATTATCACTCCGAAGCTAAAACATCAACATACGCCTCTATTTATAAACTTTTTCTGTCCCCCACTTTTCCTTTCCCCTCACCGTACAACATTACAATAGAGATTCCTCTGTACCCGAACACAAAGTAACGTAAAAATCAATTGAATAATTCAACTAAACTCGTGTCAATAAATTTTTCAAGAAAAATAATAGCTTCGAGAAAAGATTGAGGCATCTAGAAAATTCAAAATTCGAATTCCATACAATTTTTCATTTTAATATCACGAATCATATATAAACTTTGTGGTGCACATTTCCCTTTACTTTGTTCTGTATTTATTTTCTATCTTATGGTTCCCTTATACGTCTTGAAATCCTCAGATTTCTCTTTGGTATTCGTTTAATACATTACTTCTTTTTTTTCACCTAAAATTAAAAGCTATGACGAAGCAAACTCTGTCACACTTTGTTTTACATTTCTCAGCCACAAACTCGATATACGCGCGCTTTATAATTATTATATAAAAAGTATTCTCTCACTCTCGATAGTTATTTTTTTTGTTGACGTTCCCGCTAATTTTTTTGGTATTTTTCTTTCCTTTTATTTACAAACAAATTTGTTCTTTATAAGCCCCTTACTCTATTACACGTTTTAACTTTTTTTTCGTCCGTGTTGATGATGTCGAAATACTTTTTTTTTGAAAAACAAAGGAACCATTATCTTGCAATCCAGCATACTCATTCGATTCTATTTTTATCAATATATATACTTTTTCTTTGTTTCTAAACCACTTGAATAATGCGTTTACACATGCTAGATAGGGAATTTATTCATCTCGCCACAATCACACTAACATTAATGGCGTTTTCTTGGTATTTTTTCTTTAATTTGTCCGGCTTGGCAGACATTTAATGTCTCAATGCATCAAAATTACTTGGCCCATTACATCCACAATGTAATAGATATTGTTATGCATATACATAACAATATACAAAATAATAATAATAATAAAAA